GAGGGTGGCGGGGGAGCCTAGCGGGTTATCTAGGGGATTGGAATTACATACAAGTGTGTTAGGTGATGAGGAGGGGATAAAAGGATTTCAACCGCTGTGGGAGGGGTTACGTGCAGAGAAAAATGGGGTAGAGAATTTGTGGTGATGTGGTGGGATGGTGTGGCTAAAGAACGGATTAAGAAATATTACGTAAAGGAAGGGAAACGTATCAATTCTTTAAAATAGGGGCTTGCTAACTATTTGGAGGATAGGTTACGGGGTTGTTATGCGAGGGGGGGGGTGGCGGGCACTTATTAATGGATGAAATTATGGCAATTAAAGGGAGGCTGGTGAGGTACAGGAGGGGAGAGGTTCCAAGCGGTGCGGGTAAAAGGCGGGGTGGAAGAGGTGTTATGGGGCGATAGACCTTCATCGTGCGTATTGCTAGGCAGAAACAAAGGACAGCAGGCAATGACTATTCCATGGTTGGGGGTTCATGAGTCGATAGGAGGGTACAGGGAGGGGCAGGTCATACAAGCTATGGAAGGAATGGGGCGTTTGCTGACAAGGGTATGAGAAGTATGGCAACGAGAAGGGGTAGAGGATGGGGTTTAGAACGGGTGTGTGGGAGTGTGGTATGTCAGTTGCGTAACAGTGATAGGGAAGCACTGGGTTGGGGGGAAATAACTGAGGGGAAATATGGAGGGCTTTAAGTGGAATGCGAAAGGGCAAAGCACCGGGAATTGATGGACTCCTGGCAGAGTTTTATCAGCAGCATTGGGAATTATTGAGGCATTTTCTGGTTAAGTTATTAAATTGCATGAAGGAGAGAGGTGAGCTGGGTGAGAAGCAGCAACGGCTTTTCGTTGTATGGTACCGAAGGGTAAGGGCAGCATATGCTTCGGGATTACCGGGCAATCTCGTTGTTATCCCACAGATTATAAATTGTTTGCAAAGTTTTTGGGAAATCGGGTCAAGTGTGTGGTGGGGCAGTGTATCAAAAACTCAGTTTGGTTTGCCAGGGAGGGCTATGGTGGAGGGGCATGGGTTACTTAGGGATTTCGTGGGGGCAAAAGGGGGGGGAGGGAGGGAGGTTTGGTGGCGCTCGATTGGCAAGGAGCATACGATAGAGTGGATCGGAAAGCATTGAAAGCCATCCTCAGGGGTCAGGGTTTGGGGAAAAAATAGTGGTTGGGTTGAGGCCGTTGTATGGATGTGCAATGGCGAGGGTACAGATTAATGGTCGATTGGGTGGGAAGATTGTAATGGGTAGGGGATTAGGCAGGGGTGTCCTATGTCACAATTATTGTTTGCGTGCGTACAGACCCCTTTTATAGATTGATGGAGCAGCCTATGTGTCAGTAGAGGGACCAGGGTGTTTAGGTGCGAGGGTTTGGTCAGTTTTAATTGGGTATGTGGATGATACAACTGTTCTGATCAGGGAGGGATTTTCAAAGGACACATTAGACGGGGTGGTAGTACAAATGTTCGCAGGGGGAACTGGTATGAGGGTAAATTCAGATAAATCCATGGTCATGGGGTTAGGAGCTTGGGCGGGTAGGGTTGATTGGGGTAGTGCAGTTGTGAGGAGGCAGGTGAATTCGTTAAAAATTTGCGGTCTTATTTATGCAGCTTTAACGTGGCACGCAGGGGAAACGCTTGGGATGGTAGAAGGATTCGGAAATGCTTGGGGCTTTTGCGACTTATCATTTGACCTTGTGCACGTGCCATTGTTATTAATACTTACTGATAGCAAAGTAGGGCACGGGGCAGCTGTTTTCCCCATTAACCGGGCCAGAAATAACGAACATCTTAGGAAGGGTTTTTTAAAATTCTTGGGGGGTTCCTGTGTTTTGGATTAAAAGGGATGGGAAATTTACCTGCAAGAAGGGGGGGGGGGGATTGGGGACTTAAAGCGGAGGGTCAAATGTTCTTCTTTAAAAAGGGAGGTATGGGGGAAAAGTGTGGGGGGGGGGGGTTTGGCCAGGACCATAACAGTTTTGCAATGGATGATACGGGGTTTATTTGCATGATTTAAAACTGTTTTGAGGGTCGGGCTGGGATCGAGAGCCAGCAAAGGAAAAAATAGGTAGGTTTGTAGATTGTTGCCGGGGGGTTTTTTTAGTGCCTGTAAGGGGGAATTTTTCCCCCATTATGATGGGGAAGTTAGAATAGT